CAGAACGTGTTCTTAAGCCCCAGAAATCTGTGAGAGCACTGTCTCTTTGAATATCCAAAATAGTCAAGCAGCTTTTTAAACCTTCAAAATGGTGGTGTCCTCCAGACCAGCAAAAGTCCACACCTCAGCCCACCTTTCTCTTCACATTCTCTGCTTATTCCCCAAACACCGTGCACAGTCCTGTGTGCAGTCCCTGGCTAGCAGGGTGATTTTTAGGTTAATTCTTAAGTCCTGCCACCACAGGAATCTGCGTTAGTGCTGTCTCTTTAAATATCCAAAATTGTCAAGCCACTTTTTAAACCTACAAAATGGTGGCACCCTCCGGGTTGGCAAAAGTCCACAGCTCAGCCCACCTTTCTCTTCACCTTCTACGTTTGTTCCCCGGCCACCGTGCACAGTCCGTGCAGTCCCTGGCTAGCAGGGTGATTTTTAGGTTAATTCTTAAGTCCTACCACTACTCGGGAATCTCCAAGCCATCTGTCGCTGCCAGACCACAGCTCTGTGTGTCTCCATTTTTGGTATTTTCTGCAAATTCTTCTGCTAGTTGGGGTTTAGTCCACTTTTGTATCTTTCCCTTCAAGGCTCAGGGGTCCAAGATCATCTTCTGTGTCTGTTAATTGGTTTCCCTTTTCTTTGTTGAAGAGCATCTGTGCAGTCTTTCTGCCTAGTCTGCCATCTTGCCAGAACTCCATTAGATATACATTTTTAAAAACCCACAGGAAGCAATGAAAGTGTCCTAAAAGCTTAAGAAAAGTGAGCAGAAAAAAAGTGTTCTCCCCTTCAAGAGCATTCTTTGGCTCACCCCCTGGCATAAGGCCAAAACGCCATGTTACTGGGGCCAGTTCAGGCTGGCAGATTCCTGACTGCTCTCTGATCCTGGAAGAACCAAAAGAAGACAAGCTTGTCTCTGCTTCAGGAAATTCTCTTCCTATCACCCTCTTCTCACTGTCCTTTCTTTCCTTCAAATTTCTGCCTGAATAGCATGTTTCATTAAGTCTCACATTTAGGCAAAAAGGGGGAAAAAAATGTAAGGATAGAGGGCTAATGCCACAGCCTTTTTGTAAGGAAAATATCCTAAAACACAATACAAAATAGTAGCTTTGGATCAGCAATGCCCCCTAGCTGTGTTACAGAATACAAAGTCAAAATTTTCTAATACTGAAAAACAACAGAATCAATTACTCCTCTGGACTAATGCTATCTGATTTCTCCACACTACCTTTCATCCACCGGTGTCAGCCTAACCCTAGATCTATTTCTATACAGGTATTTCCAGACAGGCTATTTCTAGATAGGCTTTGTAAGTGACAATACACTGATATCTCTGCTTCCCCCCACAGACACCTGTCTCAGGTCCCAATCAGAAGTCCTTTTTTATTTATCCAACACACTTATGCTTCAAAAGTCATAGGGTGCCACCTGAAGTGATGAGGTTCCAGCTCTACTATTTTTTCAACAACATCTAGACCATCAAATGAGGGTATACCCAAAACAGACATTTGAGGAGATAATTACAAAAAAAAAAAAAAAAAAACTCAGTGTTGTTGAGTCAATTCCAACTCATAGCGACCCTTCCTTGGATGTCTGAGGTGGTATCTCTATGGAAGTAGATTGCCCAGTCTTCCTTCTGAGGAGTGGCTTGTGGGCTTATACCACCAACCTTCTGGTTAGCAGTCAAATGCCACCATGAAGGAGAAGAGAAGAGGAGGAAAAGAGCTGAGAGGGGGAGAGGAGGAAAACGGAGGGAGAAATAAAGAATGAGTAAAAAAGCTCAGATTATTTTGCCAGCTGGAAAGACAATCCTTCCTGGGAAGGATTTAGTTATATGACCTGGAGCAAATCACTTTATTTCTTAGTTTTAGATTCTTTTTCACAAAGGGGCAGTGATAGTATCTTGTTTATAGCATAACTTTTGTAAGCTGTGCAGTGCTTCTGAATTTTTAGCTATTTATCTCTTTCTATCACTTCTCAGGAAGTAAGTCCAATTGCTGTAGCACCTTCCTCAGAGAATATTTCACTTCCTTATTCCTTAGACTGTAGATCAAAGGGTTCAACATAGGAGTAACCAAGTTATTCAGAAGCTGAACAGTTGCATTAAGCCAGGGATTGGGAGTGGGCTGCAGGTAGATGAGAACCACTGGCATAAAGGAGAGAAGGATGGCAGTGAGGTGGGCACTGCAGGTGGAGAAAGCTCGGCGTCTGCCCTCTGCAGAGTGGATTTGAAGAATAGAGCCAACAATGAAACTGTAGGAGGTGAGAATGAGAAGGAAGCAGCTGAGGGGCATTAGGCCCACACTGATGAATCCCACCATCTCCAGGGTTGATGTATCTGCACAGGCCAGCTTCAGCATCACTGGGATGTCACAAAAGTAATAGTCTACCTCATTGGGACCACAGTAGGGTAACTGGAAGGTGAGAGTGGTTAGGAAGGTGGCCTGAATACAGGCAAAAAATGAAGTGCCCATAGCCAGGATGGCACACACTCTGTGGCTCACAATGACTGTGTAGCGCAGAGGGTAACATATGGCCACAAAGCGGTCATAGGCCATCACAGTGTACAGGAAACACTCCGTGCAGCCCAGAAAGTGGTAAAAGAAGAGCTGAGACACACAGCCTGCATAGGAGATAGCTCGGCTGTTCCCTGAGAGGTAGACCAGCATCTTGGGAGAGCTCACCGAAGGGAAAAAAATGTCACATACAGACAACTTGCACAGAAAGAAGTACATGGGAGTGTGAAGGCAAGCAGAGGAGACAATTGCAAGTAGGATGAGCAGATTCCCCATCAGGGTGAAGAGGTAGAAGAACAAAAACAGGACAAAGAGTATAGTCTCCAAACCCTCTGTGTGTGGGATGCCCAGCAGAATAAACTTGGTCACCATCGAGATATTCCTCATCTTTGTTGGAATGATGAACTTTAAACAAGAACTAAGGACTCCAGTGTCAACACTTGTCAAACCAAGGATCTCTTTCTTGGCTTCATGTTTTAACAATCATCATTCTTCTTATGTAAGGACAGATCTACACAAACACATAAGGACAATAAAGTTCTTGACTATATTCTGAAACTTTTGTTTTTCACTAAATTAGATTAAGCTCACTACAGTATATCTTTCCCACAGAAAGTAAAATATAAAAAATATATTTAAAAATATTAAAAAAAACTGCCTAAGAAATATGAAAAATATACAAATTGGGAAGAGTAAAAACCTGAAGAGCAAATTTATGCAGTTGTAAGTTTCTCTTTTTTTCCTCCACTTTTCTCTTGCATATATATATATATATACATATATATATATATATTTGTAAAGGATGAACCTAATTACAGAATTGTGTGATAGCTTCTCAGGAGGCTGAACTCCATTAAAGACATCATATCTTTGACATGGAAATATGAGGTCACCATAAGTCAGATGCTAGTGATCTATAGAAATGTTATTTTAATTCCAGTAATATATGAAATGTTATTCTTATAAAGCTCGGTTCCCTTTTCCCTTTTTATTGGTATTTTTTTCCTTCCTCCTGATTGCTTTAGATTTATATTCTTTTTCCAATGTTTTAATTTAGAAGGTCAGGTTATTGCTTTGAGATCTTTATTCTGTCTTAATATTTCCAGCTATATATTTCCTTCTATACTCTTCTTTACCTTCGTTACATTTTAATATTCTGTATCTTCAGTTTTATTTATCATAATACATGTTCTGATTTCTATTTTGATTTATTCTTTGACACATTGATATTTGGGAAAATATTATTTGATGTCCACATATTTGTGAGTATCCTACATTCATTATTCATGTTAATTTCTAACTTTATTCCATTGTGTTCAGAGAACATACTTTGTGTTATTTCTATCACTTTAAATATATTAAGGTTTGTTTTATGGCTTATTGTACAATCTATTTTGGATAATGTTCCATGTGCATTTGAGGAAAATATATATTATGTTATTTTTTATTTGTGGAATGTTCTGTAGATATCTGTTAGGTGTAGTTGGTTTCTAGGGTTGGTCAAGTCTTCTATTTCCTTATTGATCTTTTGTCTAGTTGTATCCATTTGTAAGAAAGAAATAATAAAGACGAAGGTAGAAGTTAAACAAGTAGAGAATAGGAAATAATACAGAAAGTCAATGAAACTAAAAGCTCGTTCTTGGAATGGATCAACAAAATTGACAAACCATTAGCTAAATTGACCAAGAGAAAATGAGAAAAGACTCAAATTACTAGAATCACAGATGAAACAATGGGTATTACTGCTGATTTTTAACCAAAATATGCTGAGGTCCAGCCCTGGAGAACAGCAGCCAATAGCCCACACCTACATTCTAGGAGAAGAGACTTTAATTAAGAGGTACACCAACGAGAGAGAGATGGGGTCTCAGTGACTCCAAAATCACCCACTCTGCTCAGTGCTTACAATCAAGGGTTCTTACTCTAAAGGAAAAAGAGACACAGCACATATGCGGGATTAATTAACAATTTTCCAAAAGTTAAATCAGGCAATGAGTAATTAAGAAAAGAATGTTTCTTGTGAGTTTTAGATTCCAGGATGCAGCAGGAACTGATACCTGTAATTTAGAAAGAGAACAAGTTAACTATATCACAAGGTTGAAGCCAAGTTTTAAAGAAATGCATCTTAACCAAAAATATGGAGTTTTATTCTAAGAATATAGAGTCAGGCCTAACACAGTAAAAATCTTTATCTTCACAGTATAATAGACATAAAAAAGAGTTATAGCACTATGAATAATTATATTTTTAAAAAAGGTAACGTAGATGAAATGAGCAAATTACTTAAAGTTTCACTTCTAAAACTGATTCCAGAAGAAATAGACACTCTGAATATACATGTAACAAGTTAACAGATTGAGTTACTATTCAAATACCTATCCACAAAGAAAAGTCCAGCCCAGTTTTCAAGACCATTCTAGCTATATTCAATAATTAATTCACCAGAAGTTAATCTCAACTGAAAATTAGCAAATTTCAATGTGCAGAACCAAATTCAACAGGTAATGCATGGATAAGAAGTCAGTTACGGACTCTAAGCCAACATCTATGCTTATTAACAAACATGTAAGAATCTCAACAATAACAAGAAAAATATCACATGTGGGTTTTCTCTTCCAGCTCTTGTGAAATAGCATGTGAATGACCATTACTTACAATGAAAACAATTACAAATGTTATACAAGATGAAGGCATCAAAAAGCTATTGTGGCAACCAGGACTTGAGAGGCCAAGATATTAGAGAGAAGAGCTACACAAAGTGAACCTAATATTCTGCTCTGATTTATCCCTCTAAGCACTTTCTTATTTCGCTAGGCCTAGTAAAAAGCTAAGAAGTAAAGTGGAAAACAGCAGAAGTAAATTGAACTTCCTGCAATCTCATTGTGCTGTGAAAACAAAAATGAAAGTGCAATATTCTCCAAGGATGGGTTATTGTGGTTGTTGTTGTTGTTAGATGCTATCAAGTTGCTTTTCCACTCATAGTGATGCCATGTGATAGAATAGAACTGTCTCATAGGGATTTCTAGGCTGTAATCTTTATAGGAGCAGACTGTCAGGTCTTTCTCCCATAGAGCAGAGCAGCAGGAAGGATTGGAACTGCCAGCCCTTCAGCTAGTAGCCAAGCACTTAATTTTTGTGCTACCAGGGCTCCTTGCAACTAAGTATATCTACCATTAGCATAACCATTCAGTGTGGATTTAATAAATAAGAAGCAATTATTTTATTAGTACCTATGTGTCCTTCTGGGCTATTATGCTATTAGGTGCTTCCCAATACTTTTTTGACCCACAGCAACCTGATGAAAGAGAGTCGAACTGCCCCATAGAGTTTTCTAGGCTTTAATCTTTTCAGGAACAGATTGCCAGATCCTCTCCCTGCAGAACCACTGGAGCTTTTAGGTTAGCAGCTTAGCACTTAACTATTGTGTCATCAAAAGGTAACAGCAACCTATGGGCTAATCAACAAAAAATGGATAAATAAAATGTACTATATCCATACAATGGTGTACTATACAGTAACATAAAGAGAAATTGATTATTTGCCAGGTCCTGTTCTAGTCTTTTTTAAAAATTCAATAGTTTTTTTTTTTTTTTTTAAATCTTGAAAAAGTTGGATTAAATAAGAGATAATTAAAGCACAGAGAGGTTTAGTAACTCCATCACACAGCTAGAAAGTGACCTATCTGACAATAAAACCCAGGTCTTCTGATACCAGAGGTAAATCCTCCACTGTGATTACTCTCAGGAATATTTTGCCGAGAGAAGCATCTTCAAAAGTCAGAAGAGTTACATTGAAGACTTGTGTGATTTCCCATGGTGAATAACCAGCTAAAAATAATGTAATTAATAACAGTTATATTTCATTTCACTATAGAAGGAAAACAAAAATGAAATAAGTTGCCTTGTGGAGGAATGAGTTCCAGTCACTATAATAGTTTAAGTATGAGTAAGGTCAATTTCTTCCAAGAATGCCATGAGGGAGATTCTTTATTACAATGCAAGACTATCCTATATGCACCTGTAATGTCCTTTATAACTTTGAGATTCTTTGATTTTATTACATAGTTCATTTTTTGGCCACATTTTCAAATATATTAAAAAATGTGGCAAATAAATATTAATAAATGGTTTCCTTGGTGATTTAAATACAGTAAATCTATCTATCTCTATAAGAAATAAAGTTTAACAAAATCACTGTAGTGGTTACAATAATAAGAATACCATTCTTTATGCATTTTAAAATGAGAAACTAATGCCATAAGGAAGGCCAAAATATCCCTGAAGAAGAGTTCCTCAGGATGATAAAATCCTATAGAGATACTTTTGTGTGCGACCTATAGTTAAAAAACAAAAACAAACAAAACACCTGATTTATGTTGAACATAAATATATGTAGGCACTGTACTGAACAATGTTGGTACTTTAAATCCTTTAGTCCTTATCACATGGCTATGAGAAGGATACTATTAATTCTCATTTTATGTTAGGAAATTAAGGCACAAAGAGTTTAAGAAAATTGAACAATACACATCTATTAAAAGATAAAGTTGGATTCCACACCTAGAACAGTGGGAATCATTTTCTGGGTTGTTACTAATTCTGAGTTCCTAATACTCATTAATGCATAATAGCAACTTTAATGTTATTTTTATATTGCTTAATTTTTATAATGTGATTTTATGCGTTTTCAAATGACTCTCACAGAATCCCTATAAGGTACTGGTAATTAATCTCAATTTTTAGTAAGTACACTGAAAGTCAGAGAGTTTATAACTTTCTAAAATGAAAAACAGAAGAATAAGTCATACCCAAGTTTTCTGACATCGTTTAGTTTTCTTTCTACTATACCTTCACTACTTCCAAAAAGACTTGAAATTGAGATATTGTTTCTTTGTGAGGTAAAAATCATTCACAGATTCATTCTACAGATTTGGAGAAGTGTTCCTGAAACCCTTCAACCTTCATCATCATTATCTAGTATGCTCTGAATACTTTATAGCATGAGATTAAAGCTCAGGAGAAGTAGACAAATCTCTAAAGATCATATTATATGGTTGAGTCAGTAGGTCCCAGAGCTACAGAGAAATTGTTGTTTCTAAAAGCTATTCCCATAATCACACTTTAGATTATGGTGTAACAGTAAA